TTGTTCAGTCCTTAACAAATTTTACGTGTCATTTAAATTTTTAAATTTAAATTAATTTTAATGACATTCAAAAACATGTCCTTTTATATCTCAAAATATTTCTTGCCATGAAGTCTATGCTATCTAATATTAACATAGCCATTGCATCCTTTTTTATGATTAGTGTTACATGCTGCATCTGTTTCCATCCTTTAACTTACTTATGTATTTTTAAAATGCATTCTTTTAGATTGAATATAGTGGGATCTTTCTTTTTCTTTAGCCAGGCAATCTGTCTTCAGTACGTTTAAGCCTAATAAATTATTGGACATATGGAATATGTTTTCTATTTGTTTCATCTCTTTTTTATTCCTTTGTTACTTTTTCTCTGGTTGCTGTTGGATTAAGTATATTTTAGTATTCCATTTTTATCTCCCTTACATGCTTATTAGCTATAATTATTTTTTTTTTCAATTTTAATGTTTGTTTAAGCATTTACAATATACGTTTGAACTGATTACGGCTTCCTTACAAATTATATTATGCCACTTTACATGCAATGTAAACTTCTAAAAATGATGTACTCCTGTTTCTCAACTCTTTTTGCTTCCACATATCATGTAATTAATTTATTTCTGCATATATATTAAACACCAAAATACAGTGTAATCATTTACCTTAGTCAATTATACTATAAATAATGTTTAAAATAACAATCTTTTATTATTTTCATACATTTACTAGTACCAACATGTTTTCTTCCTTCATATGGACACTTGTTTCTATCTTGAATCATTTCATTTTAGCATGAAGCACATTCTTTAACATTTTTTGTAGAGCAAGTCTGCTGACAACAAAATTTCCCAAATTTTGTTTGTCTGAAAATATATGTATTTTACTTTTGAATCTGAAGGATATTTTCAGTGAATATTTAATTCTAGATTTTGTTTGGTTTTGTTTTGCTTTATTTTGTTTAATTTTTGTTCCTTTAAATGTAATATTAATTGTCTTCTGGCTTATACTGGTTGTGATGGTGTATCCAGTGAATTGTCAAATATTTTTATTCTTGTATGTATGCCTTTTTCTCTCTGGGCACTTTAAATATTATTATCCCTATCACTGAGTTCCAGGAGTTTGATTATGCTATTATTTTTTTTCTTTCTTTCTTTTTTTTGGGGGGGGATGCTTATTCTGCTTGACTTCCATAGCATTTTTTAAATCTATAACCATAAATTTTATCAAATTTGGAAATTTTTGAGCACTGTATCTTCAAATAATTTACTTTTCTGGCATTTTAGTTGCACATATATGAGTCCACCAGGTATCTCTCTTGAGTCAGTGATGCTTTGTTCATTTTTCTCAGCCTTTTTTCTCTCTATATTCCAGATAGTTTCTATTCTGTTAATTTTTCTTCAATTCACTGGCTTCTTTTATATTGTCTAATATGCTTGTAAGCCCATTCAGTGAATTTACAGATAGATTTTTCCATTCTGTTAAATTTGATTTGCTTATTTTTCATAACTTCCATTACTCTTCAACATTACATAGTTTTCTTTAAATTCTTGTGCATATTGAACATACTTATAATAGTTGCTTAAAAGTCTTGGTCTGGTAGTTCTGTCGTCTCTTTTATTTCTGGGTCTCATTTTATTGGTTGTTTTTTCCCTCCAATTATGACAGGTCACAATTGCTGACTTCTTCCAATACCTAGTACTTTTTGTTTTGATGCTCGACACTATTAATGTTACATTGCTTAGTGACTGTATTTTGTCTTTATTATTGAGTGTTGAGTTTTCATTTTGCTGGATATTCATTTACTTGCAAATCAACTAGACTTCTAGAGACTTTTTAAAAGCTTTGTCAATGTGGATCTAAAGTAGCCTTTGCTCTAGGAATAGTTTAGCCTTAGTTCTTATATGTAGTCTTTCTAGATTCTCTAATAAAGACTGAGTTTTCAGTAAGATTTCTCCAGTTTCATTGCATAGAACTCATAGTCTTCCATCCCTGTATGAGTTCCAGGGTCTGTACAGTTTAGAGGTCCCAGGTAGCTGCTCTTTTCCCAACTTTGACAAGTCACACTTACTTGTTTACAGTTTGTTATCCAGCCACAGGCTCAAAGAAACCCTTTGCAGATTTTTAGAGCTCTATTTCTGTGTAGCTGATTCTTTTCCTGTACTCCACAAAACAGATTCCAGCTGCTTTCGTCAATTTTAACTCTATTGTCTGTGTCCTCATCTCACTGAAGCTTTCATCATCTGTGCTCTGTGTGGGTTCTACCTCTCAGTGGGGGTGGGGGAGTCTTATAAATATCCTCAGGCAGAGAGTCAAGCAGTTTTAGAGATTATATCATTTGTTCTCTTAGGGATCACAGTTCCCTGTTGTCAGTTATCCAATGTATGAAACAGTTGTTTCATACATTGATGAGGTTTCTACTTATTATTGGTGGAAGAGCCAGTATAGTTGTAGTTATTCACTCATGGCCAGAAGCAGGATTTCTAAAAACACATTTTTAAAATTAGTGTATTAAAAACAAAAACCAAGAAACGTTACATACCCAAAGTACTGATTCTTCATGTGAGGTTGCTTAAGCTAATAGAGTGTGTGGATTTGAAGGTATGTGTGTGTGCCATTTTCTGGGGAATGCTGAATGTCAAAAATACTAATTGAGCCTAAATATCATACTCTAGCAACCCCAGGAGGTTTTTAAAGGCATTTTTATTACAGATTTTCAGGAAATATTCCTTTCTAATGGTGCCATAAAAATGTGTTAAAATGCAGGAGAAAAAAAGTAGGATTGTACTGACCACAATGCAAATCTAGGCCAAAATGACTCCTAAAGATATTTAATAGACTTCAGGGAAATACAAGGAAATACTTTATCTTTTAGGCAAAATCATTCATTATTTTATCAATTTAGCATTGTCTAAAGTGCATGCATTTGTACCGAATAAGAAAATGAAAATATCTTCAAGTTCAATAGCAATAAAGCAAGAGGTCATTTTTTTAAAAAGTAAGTTGTGTAAAATTTAACTTCTGAAATTTCTCCTCATGTACTTTTGACAGTTTTACCATTTCTTGATTTGCTATTATTAATCACCTGTTTTCTCATCCTAAAACACTGGCATCATACTTGACACTTCCTTTCACCAGGACAACCAAATCATTGCCATATTCTGTTAGTTCTGCTCCTAAGTATATCTTGATCTTTTTCTCTACTCTTTATCCAAGCCACCATTACTTTTAGTTAGACTACTGTGTTGGTGTTATAGTCAATCTTTCAGTCTAAGTTTACCTTACACCTATCAACTTTCTGTATAATAATTTTCAAAATATTTTAAACTTTTACAATTTTTTTTTTCCTGAGGAAAACCCTCAAAATACTGGCAAGGCTTATAATGTCTGTCTATTCCTTGTCTCCAGCTTTTTCTCTTCCTGATCTACTTCAGCATGTTTGGCTTTATGCACACTAGTCTCTAGATCCTGGTCAAGCTGAAATGAGCTTTTAAGATCTTTCCATTTATGGTTCCCTTGGTCTTGAATTCTCTTTCTCTTCTTCCCTGTTTCCCCTAGCTAACTTCCTCAGTAAACAATGTCCCTCAGACAAGCCATTCTTGAGTTCTCCCATACAAGTGTCAGCTTGTTATGTAGTTAGTTACTTACATAATTTTTAAATATCTGGTTCTCCAGATAGATTTTAAATTCCATGAGATCAGAACATATCTCTGTTGTTCATTTTGGGGGTTCCAGAACTTTGAGTGTTGCCTAAATTATAGCTGATATTTGTTAAGTAATTGTTCAATCATGATTAAATGTTATATCAGAGGAAGTTACTTCCAAGGATGTGTTCAGAAATGAGCACTCTCAGTCACTTTTATGAGAGAATAAATTGATGCAACCTTTATGAAAACTATTTTGAAACTGTTTTTCAAAATTTTTATTCAATTTTTTTACTTCTGTAATTTCAAATCTGGATATTTATTCAAGGGAACTATTCAGATATACACATAATTAGTGGGCAGTATATTTATTTAAGCATCACTTATAATATAAAAACTTGGAAATATTCAAACATCCAGTTAATGAATAGGTTAATTAATAACTACCAGAATTTATTGGCTTAAGTTATCAAGATATTTTTTATATAATTGGCCTAAAAGCCTTCAATGAATCTTCATGTACATGTCTTTTGAAAAAAGAATAAAGTTATATGGGAAAGTCTAAAAGTTTAAATAAAAATAAAATAATTTGGAGTAAAATAAAGAAATCTTTAATTTAAAGTGGTAGCCATGACATCTCACTTCTCTGTCATGAATCTTATTTAAATGGTAATGAAGATCAGCTCAAAAAAGAAAGAAGGAAAAAAAATATGTAAACAAACAAAAAAAGGTCCCATATGTATGACAGCTGTTTATGAGTGAGTAGTAGCATTTATCTTTCATTTCTGGTCTCAGCAAATCACAAATGGGAAGTATTTTAAAAGTCCTGAGTCTGTTTTTAAAAACCAACATATTATCCTTGAATTGTTTTGTAATGTACATAACCTCTTCTTTTTGATCTGTTCGTTACTGTGCTGTTGGGTGACTTTTCTTTAATCACATACTTTTCTAGATGGGCATAGGAGATAACAGAGAAAGTATAATACTTAGTACAAGCCTTCACAATACTCCTAGGATCACTGGATAGATGTGACAGATATATATAGCTTTAATGTAAGCATGTGTTAGATAATAAATGGCTACAGGCAAAATAAGGGGTACAGACATCAAGTGTCCAAGGAAGTTGGAGGAGGCAAAGATAAAAGTGGCTGTGTGGTTGTGGACAGCTTCAGGACAGGAGAGCTTGTGACATTTGCCATGATTGTGGACATCTCCTAAAAAGAGATGCCTCAAGTTTTACATCAAAGAATGTTGACCCATTTGTTTAGAAATGAACAGAATGCTTTTAATTAAATAATTTGAAGTGGATGTTGATCAATGATACTGACTTGTAAATACTCATTATATTTTTGAACTTCTTTATAGCTCTCCGAGATGCTGGCAAACAGTCTATTAATAGTGACTGGAAGATTGAACACTCTGGAGCATTCAATTTAGCAGGAACTACCGTTCATTATATAAGACGAGGCCTGTGGGAAAAGATCTCTGCCAAAGGTCCTACTACAGCACCTTTACATCTCCTGGTATGAGGGAATGAATTTATAACATTGCATGATCAACTTTCCATGGCAAAGGGCATTCCTGCTGTGCCTTCTCTAATCTTACTTCCAAATTTGAATTGTCAGATTGATGTTTAAAATTATTTTAAAAGTGAGTTTTTAGAGTTTTAACAAATGTGCTTTAAATCATGATTTCTAAAAATAGCAATTATTACAAGAACAAAATGTTTTCAGGAATTCTCAGACTCAAAGTATTGATGAATTTCCAGGGAATGCTAAGAAACCCCTCTTTCCTGAAAGCATACATTTACTAACCACAATGTATGTCTGTAAAGAAAGTGCTATAATATAAAAAAATCATAGCATTTCATACATCAATGAAGTGGGCATTGTCTAAATCTGCATAAAAGGCCTTTGATAAAATGTTATTCTGCTTGGGGGAATAATCTGATAAATATATCTAACAGTGCTCCCAATTACCCCATTATATTTTCTTATCAGGTTAAATGGATTTCTGTAAAGAATTTTGAAAACTTGAACGTTTGGGATGATAATTTTCTTTACCATATAGTAAAAGATTAGATATGCAGCCGGGCTCGGTGGCTCAGCCTGTAATCCCACGCCTTTGGGAGGCTGAGGTGAGCGGATTGCCTGAGCCCGTGGGTTCGAGACCCGCCTGGGCAGCAAGACCTCATCTCTACAATAAATCAAAAAATCAGCCGGGCATGGTAGCGCATGCCTATAATTCTGGCTACTCGGAAGGCTGAGGCGGAAGGATCACTGGAGCCCAGCAGGTCGAGGCTG